ATTATTAAAAGCAGTACATAGCACTGTTTTAACAAGCTGGTAAGAGTATTTGTTATGATTAAGCAACGAAAAAGCGAGGTTTCTTTACAAAAAATGTCATTTATTCAATTAAATTTCCCAGTACAATGGTAAACTGTTAACATTTTTACCATTTGAGACGTTATATTAATGATCATTTTCAGTCACATTCACCCCAAAACTAATTTTGAGTTGTATATACTGCTGGAAAAACTTTGTAAATATATCACAATATTGTCTTTGTACTCCAAATATTATGAAACATCATATAATAGTGATCGTCACTGAACTGTGACTTCGAGTCCCGGTTCTTTACGTACCTACATTTGTAGTCTAAACATCTCATTTGGTGTTTTTCAGTTCTTTTTTCTTGTTTAGTGAGAGAAGTCTAGTCTCTGTTGGGCTTTAACGGAAATGTTAAAGTCAGGTTGAAGGTCTGAGGTGGAGATGTGAAGCAAAGCTGACATCATCAGTGAGAGAGGATCTATCTCTGGATTTGGTTAACTTCATTTGTTTACATATGTATTTTGTAATTCCCCTTACGGGGGCCGGTCAGAGTCAACCAAAGGGCCAAATGTGGCCCTGGGGCCGTACAATGCCCAGGTCTGATTTAAAGGCTAGTTAATGCTAAAAGTTGTAAACCACTAGCTAAAAGTAGCAAAAGTTTAAAAATAAACTAAAAGTTGCAAAAATCTGACAGGTGTGGGTGCTTCACCTATCCCACCCACATTTTGATGTTGTTGGTACTGGGAGTTGAACCAGCAATCTTCTGATCACAGGCCCACCTTTTCTAGCCTCTGCACCACCACTCCCTTCTAACAAATAAACAAACTAATAAACAAAACATACAACTAACTGAAACTTTTCAGTAACGTGGGTTTGAAACTTATTTATTCATTAAAACCAACAATGGAGCCCCCTAAACCTGAGAGAACTTTACTGCTGCCTTGATAGTCTCGTTGTAAAGTCCAGCTTTCTTTCTAATTATCAATTTTTCACATAAAATCCATTTTTTTGCTAAAAAAAAAAAAAATTTAAAATTGAGTAAACTACATTATTTACACAAGTAGTTTGGATTAACTAAAAAGGAACTGAATACAAAACAAGATGGACTTAGAATGTTATTGATGAAATATATTATCAGATCATATTTTATAAATATTTAATTTTCAGATAGTAGCATAAAGCAGCAGAACAAATTGGTGAAACAGTGGAGGACCGGAAACACAGCCCTGTGGAACTCCATAACCCTTTTTTGGTGTGTTTGTAGTGAAAAAAGTTTTTAAAGAAATATAAGAGATCTTAATGTAGTTCCATGAGGAAAGAATAAAAAGACATTCAAAAAGTATACAAGTTACAGAAATCAGCTCTCCTCTCCGGAATGTTTTGAAATATAAACAAATACAGTACTGTACATAAAAGTATTTTAAAACGGGATCACAGTGCTGCCTCAGGCTTCAAACAGTTGCTTAAAAGTCAAATGATCACAGTCCATTGAACTGTTTTATGTTTCGAACACTTTTCTGTCAGAGGGGCCGAGTGTCTAAAACAAACTCGTTCAGTTTTATCGTGTCGCACATCTGTCGGCTGCGAAACGTTAGAGGAGCCGCCGCCTGTAATCACACTCGCATTCAGGAGAATCGCTGTACTTGTGAAGGGACACGTTCACACTCACATGTGAAACTATTCATTACAAACTATTCATTTATTCCCACTGCTGTCACTGATAACGCCCCCCCCCCCCCCCCCCCCCCCCCATCCCCTCCTATTCTAATCTCCTATTGCCATAATTACTAGCGCATCTATTACCTGCTCCTTTATGCCCGTTCAAGCTGAATTTACAACGATCCCGGTAAAACTGAAGGGTTTTTGTGCAAAGTTCAACAATAAAGGGGAAATAAATCACTTCAGTTTTTAAGGATCTGACTGTATTAAACTGCAGAAGTAGTGTCCATGACAGCTCTACCTGCACTGGATCCACTCTGGACACATGGATGAAATTCCTGATGGGTGTGAAAATGACTGGGTCTCAGGCCAAAAGCTGCATTATAAGTTTTCTAATTAATTACTTATATTAATAATTAATTATAACTATTAATGTCATTAACAATTAATTCACAATTAACCATTAATTACTGTATAAGTTTCCACCCAGCAGATTTCTAACTGCTGGGTGCTCGTATAGCTGCACGTTGCTCCACTTGTGTGTATCTCACATGCAGGATGGGTCAAACTCAGAGGACATTTGTCTTCGTGTGGACGCATGCAGTGAAGACGCAGCACTTCCACTTTCACGTTGTGCGTTCAGAGATGGCGTTCTGGAGACTTTGGTTGTAACGAGGGGATATTTGAGCCACCGCTGCCGTTCAACCGTCTCCAAGCGCTCCGCTCGTTCGTCTGGATATTTTCTCTTTTTCTGACTGTTCCCTGCAAACCCCAGAGACGGTTGTAAACAGTCAGTAAATCAGCAGTTTCTGAAACGTTCAGACCAACAAACATGCAGCGTTCAGAGTGACTGAAACCTCCTGAGTCTGATGCTCAGTTTGATCGTCAGCACATCTGGGTGCACTGAGCTGCTGCCTGATTAGCAATTAGCGTTAACGAGCAATTGAATGTGTTGACCTCGTAAAGAGGCTAACTGAACATGTGTGAGGCGAAACCTGCACATAGTTGCTAAACTAGAGAAATTGCATTTCCTGCGAAAAAGCAGTGTGAACGCTTATTGATGAAAAACAGCTGAAATTAGCTAAAACTTGCTGAAATGTATATAGCTGAAAAGGGAGAACAAGCCTAAGTTATCAGAAGAAAGTAGAACAAACACATATTTGCTGAATTTGGTTTAAATAAGCAGAAACGAGAACAAAAATTAAGAAATTAGTTTAAAAAAAAAATCTTGATTAATCAAAAAAGAGCTGGAAAGTAGCTGAAAAGGTACAAAGAAGCTTAAACTACCAGAAGGAAGTTGAAGGAGCTGAAATGATTTTAAAAAATGTGGTATTAACTGAAAAAGCTAAATTTAGCCCAAAACAGCTAAATACTAGCTGAAATAGCAGAAAAAGCTTAAACTAGCAGAAAAAAGCTGAAAGAAGCATAACAAGTTGAAATTAGCATAAAGAAGTTAATTAGGCCGAAAGTAGCAAATTACCACAAAAACCTTGAATTTATCTGAAAACAGCCGAAATTAGTGAATACGCTAAAAAAAAGTAGCTGAAAATGTAGAACAAGCTTAAATTAGCAGAAGAAAGCAGAAAGAACACAATTGTTGAAAGATGCCAAAATTAGCACAAAAAAGGGGAAATTATCTGATAAAAGCTGAAATTAGAAAAAAAAAAATCAGCTGAAAAGTATCCAACAATTTTCAGTCAGGTCATCTGAATAGTTTTTTGTTTTTTTTTGTGCTGAAACATTTCACCTTCCATCCAGAAGGCTTCATCAGTCAAGGAAACACACAGCACAAAACTGATTCTTCCCCCAACAGCTGACTCCAAAGTGGTCTTGAACCAGTTTGACATGACCATCGACAAGGGAGAGGGCCGGCACCACAGGAGGGGGCGTGCCAAAGACACCATCTTAGCACCAACATAACTGGTTTGTTCCACTTTGGAACTTTGTATACCTGGATTATTGAGCATGGACTTTGTTGGTTCAGCTGAAAAGTAGCTAAAAAGAGAAAAAAGCTGAAATTCCAAGAAAGAAGTGGAAAGATTTTTCGCTGAATTAGACTGAAAAAGTTTAAATGAGTGCAACGAAAATATGGAATTAGCTGAAAAAGCTTAAATTAGCATAAAACATATGTTTTTTTTTCTTCTTCTGAGTATTGTAGTGTATTGGTGTACATATGTTTTCTTTTATCTTTTATATTTTATTTGCACTTTTATGCCAAAGCAAATTCCTAGTCTGTGAATCCTGTTCATTGACAATGGCAATAATAAAGTGAATCTGAGTCTGAATCTTAAAAGCAGCTATATAGTAGCTGAAATAGCAGAAAAAGCTGAAACTTGCAGAAATCAGCTGAAAGGAGCATAACAAGCTGAAATGAGCAGAAAGAAGTTAGAAAAAGCACAATAATTTAGTTAGCAGAAATAATCTGAAAGGAGCAAAAAACAGCTGAAATGAGCTGAAAGTAGCTGAAAAAGTTAAAATTAGCAGCAGGAAGCTGAAAGAGGCTGAAGCAGAACAAAATGTGAAAGGAGCCGTAAAAGGTTGTAAACACATCTAAAGATATGAAGGAGGTAAAATGAGCTCAATTTATTGTCTATGAGAAAAAAAGTGTCAGAAAAGGCTAAATATTTCACAAAGCTAAAGTTGCACCAATACCAAAAGTCACAGCAAGATTGTCCTGGAAGAGCCGAATGTTTCGATTCATGATTTGTTGAAATAGCTTGAAAACTGTAGAATGAGAAAGATGATGTAAAATGAAGAAAGATGGATCACAACAAACATTCAGACAGTTGCACAAGAAAGATGCAGTTTGGTGGAAGAACAAACTGCATCTTTCCGGGTCACCCCCCAGATCTAGAGTCCAGTTTGGGTCCTGACACCTCCCTGGCTTCCAGAACCGGGATCTTCAGAGGAACTTTTTTTTCGACGTGGATTTGGATGTAGGTTTGTGTCTCTTCATCTTCATCAGCTGCTTTTAGGGCCAAGCCAAATGTATTTATTATTCTTTTGTTCATAAAAACACTAAAACCAGCAACAACATCCGACCAGTATGATTTACAATCTGCTAAAAACTGCTCCCAATCAAACAATAAAACCTTACATTTACAGGAACTGGGTGAAACAATAATTTTAAAAAACTTCAATTAATCTTTTTAATGGGTAAACGAAGAACTTGACGATGAGTTGAAATAATAAAAAATTAATTGTCCACTAAATTTATTTAAAAAATATATTTTTTTCGTGTGTAGCACAAAAGCGCAGGTTTTCTAATGTTGTCATTTTCTTATCAAACGTTGTCCTAAAATGTTTTCTGTCTTTGAACACTCGTGTCTTTACATGCTTTTATTACACTGGCAGCATTTATTCATGTTGTCATGTCCTGCCTGGTCCTGATGTCCTGCCTGGTCCTGATGTCCTGCCTGGTCCTGATGTCCTGCCTAGTCCTGTTGTCCTGCCTGGTCCTGATGTCCTGCCTGGTCCTGATGTCCTGCCTGGTCCTGATGTCCTGCCTAGTCCTGTTGTCCTGCCTAGTCCTGATGTCCTGCCTAGTCCTGATGTCCTGCCTGGTCCTGATGTCCTGCCTAGTCCTGATGTCCTGCCTAGTCCTGATGTCCTGCCTAGTCCTGTTGTCCTGCCTAGTCCTGATGTCCTGCCTAGTCCACATCTCAGAGGGAAAACCTTTGGAAGATCTCGGCCAGCGTCGCAGATCTTTGATTGATCCACCAACACTCGAGCTGGAACCTGCTCCCAAAGATCTGCTGACAAAAGCTCTGAAAGAACATCGTCCAGACTCATACATTTTTATGAAAACCCTGGATTCATTGCATAATTACATGCAATTAAGATTTCACCTCACACTTGAGATGAGATTATTGATTAGGAGGCTGCAACGTTGCCGACTTATCGTTCTATTTGTAGCTTTGAGATGACCTTTTGCTGCTTTTAGCTTTAAGCTGTTGTTTATTTAGCTAGCATGTTGCTACTCTTAGCTTTAAGTCAGTGTTCTGCTTATTTTAGTTCAGCACTCGCACAGAAAAAGTCCATATGTTCTCCCGTTTCCTTTCCTTTCTGCTCTTGTGGTGTTTGTCCCTCGCTCGGAGCAGAATAAAGAGCCTCGATCAAACCCAGCAGCTCGTCAGACTCCAGCTGACGTTCTGCTGTGAGGCTTGAAGATCTCACACTCCAGCACACTTCACCCGCTCAGCGACACGTGAACCCCCCGTGGTGACGACTACGCCGGGTTCTTCAGCCCACCATCTCCAAGATGCAGCTGGAGGCAGCAGTGAGCGAAGACTGCACCGTCATTCGTCTCTTTCAGTTAATTGTTCTGCTACTTAAACACAAGTAGGGCTCAGATAAATCCCTGCAGTTATAATTTTGGATTAAACCTGCACCAGTGGCGATTTTAGCTTCTTTATGAAAAATAAAGAAACCATCATTAGGATTTTGTACAGAAGCTTAGTTCTCGAATCTTAGATTCACAGAAATATTTACCGTATTTTTCGGGCTATAAGACGCACCAGATTATAAGGCGCAGTAAGCAAAACAAAACGGATAAGTCAAACTTTATTCAACTCGTTCACAATAACTCTCAACGTTGTTCAGTTGTAACATATAAAATCGGTTCGAGCACAACCAGAATTAATTCATAAGGCTCACTGTCGATTTTTGAGAAAAATTAAAGGACTTAAAGTGTGCCTTATAGTCTGAAAAATACGGTAATAAATGTGAAATAAATGTGGAAAAAATGATGACACTTAAACGGGCCAGTAAAATCTATGATTGTTTTTGCATGAGTCAGATCCTCAACGCCACCTGTCAATCAATCCAGCAGGCTTGCCAGCAACTGACCAATTGGCGATCACAATTTGTCCCAAAGGTAAACGCCCCTTACCTGCAGAAGCTCCACCCCCTTTTGCGCTGACAACATTGTTGGGGTTTTGCATTACGAACACTTTGCAGTTAAGACGGATTTCATTAAAAAAATCATCAGAAACAAACGGTTCAACGTTATCAGTGGAGAACATGAAGTTCAGACAACGTTACCCTGAACATTTAGAGAGTGGAACACAGTTTATTCCATTTCAAAACCGAAACTGAGTCTGAATAAATGTAAAGAATTAATTCATGATGCAGGGGGAGGACACTCCGCATCATGAAGGACTCCACTCATCCTGCACACAGTCTGTTCCAGCCCCTCCCCCGACTTATTTATTTGTTAATTGTTGGGCTTCTTGATCTGGGACCCGAGTCCGAATTTCGTACAATAATCCTGCAAATGTGAGTTGGTATGACAATAAAAAAATCCTTGGATCCTTGAATAAAGCCCTGTGGCTGACCTCACGATCAGTTCATTGCAACACTTATAAGCAAGAAGTACCACATGTTCATCTGTTCAAAGGTAAATCCTCCATTTTCTGTCATAATTACATTGTATGTTTAATGGTTAAAGACCTTGAGGAAATGCATATTGCCCGCCGCCGTTCACACCAGAGTTCAAACTGAAATCATCTTATGCTGAAACGAGCTTTTATTTACTGTGAGCTCGTTAGAGAACCTGGAACTCTCCAAAACAGTCAAACATGGCCAAACAGCAGTTTTCCTTTTGCTTCTAAAGAATTTATCATTAATGCTTTTGTGAATGCTTAAAAAGAACTACCCAACCTTTATCAGAGAGGATCTTTAAACGTTCTCTTTGCGTTATCGCGAAGACCCGACGAAAATAATTATAACAATCACGAAGTAAGGAACAAAAATCACACAACACTTTTCTCCTGGTGATGGTTAACACGTCCTTAAATAAAAACTTGTATTTGTTAAACTACAGAAACAGCCAAAGGGGCTGGAGTCCAAGAGTTTTGATTTTTTTTTTTTTTTTTTACGTTCAGGTGTGTTTACGTTGAGCGCAGACCCGCATTTCCGAAAAGCATCTCAACATATCTGGAGAATAAACCGTTTCAAACTGCATCGTTTGACAAAGTGCAGATCCTTTTTCACGTTTCATTTCATATAGTTTTCAATTAGTGTTTTTTAAAAATACTTAAAGCGTGATCCCCGTGATGCTAAGGTCAAAGGTCGAAGTCCTTTGTTATGCAGTTAAAATCCATCTTTTGCACTTTTATCTGAAAATGGTTAAAGAACGACGATTAAAAAAAAAGCAGTTATTGTACAAAAAAGATGTTCAAAATGCCTGAAAATTTGTTAAAAGTTAAAAGAAACAAACTTTATGTTAAAGTTACCTTTAAGTTTTATTTTTTGAGTATTTGCTGCCAAGTAAGACATCAAACAAAACAAGTTTATTCTGAGAGTTTAGTTTTTCCTGATACGCTGATATGGAAGTCTGGGGTCATAGGTGCCCAGGGGAGCAGATGGTGGGGGTTAGAGGCCTTGCTCAAGGGCTCAGGGTGGGGCCAATTAGGGTAGAGACATGTGTGGGTGTTTCACCGTTTCCACCCACATTTTGATGTTGTCAGTCTGAGGAGTTGAACCAGCGACCTTCCGGTAGCAAGTTTGTTTGTTTTTTTGTAAAAATGAAAAGAATGAACTGAAACTTCACCAAAGTGCGACACTTAAATTATTAAACACGTTTTCAACGGTTTTAATTGGATTTTTTTTTCTTTTTTTCTGCACAGCGGAACAGAAAAATGCTCCAATTAAAGCTCCTCACGTTCAGAACCTCCCAGATCCTCGTGGAGAGAAAAGTTGCTGCTGAATTATTAAAACGGATCTTTTAAAGGCTGCGAGCGCAAAACTATTTACATCCGTCCTGATTCCAGAGGGACGGAACAGAAGGACCAACAGATTTTGTTTTTAATAAGCGTCAGAGACATGAACTCACTTGCTGGGCCGGTGGTCCGGTATGGTCCGGTCCAGAGAGATTCGGTCACTCAGGTAGGCGTTGTAGCCGTATTTCTCCCTCAGGTATTTGGCGTCATTCTCCTCCAGAGGTAGAAGGGTGGCGGGCAGGCCGCCTTTACCGCGACCCCCAAACCCTTCGATCAGGCCCAGAGACTTGGACAGACCTGCGGGAGCAAACAGAACATCTGGACTTCAGGCTGACGGATCTCAGAGCTGTCAGAGGCGAGCGTGCACGGCACAATCAAACGTGCACGGCACAGTCAGGAATCTGTCTAAGAGTCCAGACCTCATGTGGTCCTCAAGTCCTGGATTTAAAAACACAATTTAAGGTTTTTACTGTGAAAGTGGGAGTAAAAAAAACTTGCTGTGTAAAATACAAATTAAAACTAAAGAGCAATAATCTGCTAAATTTAAAAACTACTCTTTTATTCACAATGAAGAAAACATTAAATGTTGAAATTAAGAATTTATTTTATAATTTTTTACACAAAGAAGTGCTATGATTTAAAAACAACAGGTCAGTCAGAGGACTGAGCATGTCTAAAAATGTCAGAACAATCTCTGAAAATTATAAACTTTGAATCATCTCCAGCTCATAATCTGAACACCAGATTAGCAGAGTCTGTAGAATCTATGTGGTCAATGGACGAGGCCCTCAGGGGCCACTGCATTAGAAGCAGGTCTGGTTCTGTTCTCACAGTTCATCCACAGATGCTGCTTAAAGCTCTATCAGACAAAGAAGAAGCCAGATGTGAACACCATCCAGAACCGCTGCCGTCTTCTCTGGACCAGAGCTCGTTTCACATGGACTGAGGTGAAGTCCAGAACTGTTCTGGGGCCAGATGGACCAAGTATTTTAAAGAGGAGAGGAACCATCCAGCCTATTATCTGCTCACAGGTCTAAAGCCTGCCTCTCTGATGGTATGCGGGTACATTAGTACCTCTGACAGACAACTTACACATCTGGAAAGACTCCATCAATGAAAAAGGTATCTACAAGTTTTAGAACATCTGCTCCAGCAAATAAGACACAGAACAACTAGAATCATCCATCAGACCAGAATGGGACAAAACTTCCAACATCTGGACTCCTTCGTCCTCCTAAACCTCCAACATCTGGTCTCACCAGGTCCTAAACCTCCAACAACTGGTCTCACCAGGTCCTCCTAAACCTACAACATCTGGTCTCACCAGGTCCTCCTAAACCTCCAACATCTGGTCTCACCAGGTCCTAAATCTCCAACAACGGGTCTCACCAGGTCCTCCTAAACCTCCAACATCTGGTCTCACCAGGTCCTCCTAAACCTCCAACATCTGGTCTCACCAGGTCCTCCTAAACCTCAAACATCTGGTCTCACCAGGTCCTCCTAAACCTACAACATCTGGTCTCACCAGGTCCTAAACCTCAAACAATGGGTCTCACCAGGTCCTCCTAAACCTAGAACATCTGGTCTCACCAGGTCCTAAACCTCCAACATCTGGTCTCACCAGGTCCTCCTAAACCTACAACATCTGGTCTCACCAGGTCCTAAACCTCCAACAACGGGTCTCACCAGGTCCTCCTAAACCTACAACAACGGGTCT